ATTTAAAAACCTCGTGAAGAGCTCAAGAAAAGAACAAACTCAATGATAGTTGTGTACTCCATCATTATCGATCCATTCTATTAGAGTAAGGTGTTTGTGAAAATAGAGAGGAAAGAGAGGGCATACAAGGATGTAAAATTCATGCCCTTCTTGAAATCACCTTTTTCTGGAGTGTTCTGAAGCCAAGACGGAGCTCCGCTGTTGTCACCATTATTACCAGGATCATTTTTCTGTAGAGTTAACGCTCGGGTACAAAGTATATTTTACCGCCGGATGAATGCAACCGACATATGGATAATACTTCAGATTAACACTATTACAGACAATACTTTCGGACACCGATATTCTTTCATGCTGTGGAATGTTTTGTGGAGATGGGTGAGCTCTTTCTCTACTTGTTGAACTATTTTATTTTTGTAGATACAGGGTATCTTCCGGTGCTTTATTTTTTGTAATTACCTCATTATTGGTATTAATCTCATTGTATTTGGTGCTTAACCCACTTATTTGTACGTATATTTGCCTCTAATCAATATGTTTTCGTCACCACATATCTGTTACTCATATCCATCTTAGGGTGTATTTCGAAACTATTACTATATCTTAGAGTACCGCCACTATATAAGGCGGTAGATCCGCCCATATCGCGCTTATCCGGCTTCTCTAACTGCCGAGTGGCAGCTCTTCTTTTGTTTCTTCTGTTGTTCAGTAATAAAGGCTCTCTATTTCGACTTTAACCCCTAGACATCAGATATCAGTAACCCCAATCTTATCTTGAACTTGGCGCTCACTCAGCGAGATCATGGGGATCTTCTGCGACTAGAATGGGAGTCAAATGGCCGAGACAATACACACGAAACCACTGAATATATACAATAGGCTGGCAGATTCGAAACTTCCCTGATCATTTCCGGAAAACTGTAGAAGCTCTTTATGTAGATGAATTATGAAGGGGATGAACTCCATGTTTCATTTTCCGCTGTAATCCTTCACAACACGGGCTCAGTTGAAGAAAGACAATTTCCTGTGAGAGTTTTACACGTACTTGATCATCACTGCAGATAAACCAAACGGTTGACATGGGGCATTGTATAGTTCTATTTATTGGCAGGTGCGAAGGAGGCTACGCCATTCGAGCATGGGGATATGCTAGAGATAGTGGTGTGTGCAGTGGAGGACGGTATGATACAACGGTAGGTGACATTGCTGTTTTATATTATCAGGAAGGGGAAATACGAAATAAGAAACAAGTTTGTTTTCGAAGGAGGTGTTACAGCCACAAAAATCGCATGTCGTCCCTTCCTGATGTCTTCCGAGCTCAATTTTCACATGTATAGTCGAGTGTGCTAGATGTTCAGGGTAACTGCAAACCGTACGTTTTCCATCCATGTGGATTTCACGATGGACAAAAATACTATGGTATGTGTCCACGCGACCATACATTTAAGACACCTATGTGCAAGAAATACTGCGAATACGGTTATGGGAAACGCTATAACCGCGACAAGTTCTTTGGTAGGTTTGACACTACATTTTTGCAATATGATGTCTTGTTTTCTATGTACCTCGATACACAGAATTAGATCCACACCACTCTACTAAAGAAGGAATTGTGAAAATAATTCCTTGCGAAGTTGACCGATTTCCTTTTCAGCGAAGGGTGCGTATATGCTTCCACAAAATGAAGCTCTCATACAAAGTCAGATTATGAGAAAAGGACCAGTACAAGCGGCATTTGTCGTCTATGAAGATTTTAGCTCCTACAAAAGTGGTATCTATGTGGTGAGCAGATATTTGACATTCTATGTCCATCCTACTGTCCCAGAAACTAGATGCTCTCTCCAGCCAACATTGTAAGCCCCCAAGCCTGGGTGGCGTGCACATATACCGTCAAGGCGTGGCTTTCGGGGTTAACTAGATCTTTGTTGTCTTCTTCTCGAGCGTAGCCTCAACCGAATCAGTCTCCGTGAAGTTCAAATGGCCTTCACCACACATATGCAGCGTCATACCAATTGTCGTTTCTTTCGTTTATAGAATCATGGGAAAGATCGATGAACGGCTTGAACTACTAGCTGGAAATCCGTTTTCTTCTCTATTAAACGAGGTTGAACGCTGGCCCATGTGTATATTTGGAGCTGAGCAAAAGAACTCAAGTTTACTGGAAGTGGCTGCCCTGCAGCATAGCGTCAAACCTTAACCCTGTATATTATACCGAACAAAATGATTAATCTTTTAGTTTTTCAGCACACAGCCGGTAAAGAACGAGGAGCACACGCTGTGAAAGTGATTGGATGGGGAGTTGAAAATGGCACCAAGTACTGGACGATTGCTAACTCGTGGAATACCGATTGGGGAGAGAAAGGTTTGTCTCGCTGGGCTTCCATTCGAAAAGAATTCTTTCTTGCTCTGCAGCTCACCAAAAGCGGAAATGAGCAACCCCTATTAAACTCTGTAGGCATCAGTGTATTCGCTCCCTATTTATCACTTGAATAAACCACCTAAGTACAGGTGGGACTTTTTCATTGAGGTTGAAGGCGCAATAAGCAGGGTAGAGAAATAAACTGGAAAAGTGCATGGAGAAGGTAGCCTTGTCGTCGAACGTATTAAAATAGGCTCAACGTTAGGAAGCAAAACACGGCAAAGTAAGTAATCAAAACAAGAGAGATAGGAGTTGTGTGAGGGTGTGTTCCGCTCTGATAGTGCCAAAAATTTCTGTTTACTAATATGGATGAATCTGATCAAGGTGACACTTCTAATTCACAAAACGCCGAAATCGAATCTCTGAAATGGACGTCTTTCATGCTTCCGAAAGTTCTTTTTTAGGTTACTTCCGCATACTACGTGGTGTAAACCACTGCGAAATCGAATCAGAAATGGTTGCTGGAACTTTCTGATCATAAATGATAGTTNTTATCAAGAACTGCCATTCATTGCCGCTATGTGTCATGATAAGTTGCTTGGGAATCCTACATGGGCTCCCTCGTAAATGGTGCAGTCTCTGCAATGCCTCGTCCGAGGGTAAACCCGATGCAATTTTTGAGATTCTATTACGCCCTACGTAGGTCGCTTTCCGATCTGATAGCGCCAACTATNTTCTGTTTACTAATATGGATGAATCTGATCAAGGTGACACTTCTAATTCACAAAACGCCGAAATCGAATCTCTGAAATGGACGTCTTTCATGCTTCCGAAAGTTCTTTTTTAGGTTACTTCCGCATACTACGTGGTGTAAACCACTGCGAAATCGAATCAGAAATGGTTGCTGGAACTTTCTGATCATAAATGATAGTTCGATATTCTGTATTGATATATCTATTGGAATGAATCGTTCAAATGACTGGTTATGAGCGCAACTCTAAGGGTGGTGATTATTTCATCGGGATCGCAGAAAGCGAAGAAATCCGCCAATTTTGAGGAAATCAAGACTCCTTAAAAGTAGGGAAAATAAAGGTTGGACGAGTTCACCATGACGAAAATAACATGGAAGGGGGTTCGGACGAGATTTTAGTTGTTGCGATTGCGCAAAGGGCTGACTTATCAAGAACTGCCATTCATTGCCGCTATGTGTCATGATAAGTTGCTTGGGAATCCTACATGGGCTCCCTCGTAAATGGTGCAGTCTCTGCAATGCCTCGTCCGAGGGTAAACCCGATGCAATTTTTGAGATTCTATTACGCCCTACGTAGGTCGCTTTCCGATCTGATAGCGCCAACTATGGTATAGGGGCTTCAAGTTCATCTTGTGGGCAAATCTCAGAAAACATTTTTATCGTGAACTGTGCCTTTAACTTGCATGCCGTCTCTTTCTAATACTCGAACTGATGTTTACAAGAGGATATTGGAACATGCGAAATATTCAGGATAACTGCAAGCCGTACGTCTTCCATCCATGTGGATGGCACGCTGGTCACAAATACTATGGTGAATGTCCATATGATCACACATACGCGACACCACCGTGCAAGGAATACTGCCAATATTTATTTTATTTTATTTAGTAACATGTACAGTCAGTACATGAACACAG